ATTGATTCATGTATTAATTTATTTATTAATTTTTTCATTAATTCATTTATTTATTTTTTCATTAATTCATTTATGTACTTATTTCTGTATTTCTTCGTTCTTATGATAATGAGGGGGCGTGTTTTTCACGTTCAGGCTTAACAATCAAGACCAGGAGAAGAGCTGATTAAACTGTCCTTTCACCAACTACATAAAGAGCTGCAATGTCATGTACAGACAAACCTGCCGATAAATAACTTTCGATGGCTTCCACAGTCAGTATGTGAGAAGTGTGTCCAAATGTCTGTGTGATCTGAATTTTGCAGAAAAAGACGTTGAACCACCTCCCCCAGAGTTCTGAACACTACGGGGTCCTCTGTACCAGCAGAGGCAGCAAAATGGAGCAAACTGTCCCCACAGCCTCCAGACGAAAGAGTAAACAATCCGTACCTGCATTTTCAGCAGAGACTCTCAGATCTCTGACTGTCTGCTGCCTGTAAGAAGCCATTATTGTAACTACTGTCTTGTCCTTAGTTACCACTGAGAGAGCAAAATATGTACAATCGATCTACAGAATCTGACATTGATCATCCAATAGGAATATCAAGACGCTGTGACATCATTGACTGACAGCCCCTTTATTAGCATAAGGACAAGGAAAAACTTAATAAATAAACATAAATAAATGAAGACATTAATTTATATAAGATTTTATTTATTAATATATTAATTGTTATGTATATTTATTTATTTTTAGATTTATCATTATTCTTTGCAATTCTCCTTCATATATTAATTTACTAAGTCATTTATTTTTAATTTTATTTATTATTTCATTTGGGCAAATCTGGTCCTTCATACAAAACCAGGCTGAATCCCAAACGGCTCTGTATTCCGTAAATAGTGTGCCATGAAATTTCCCACATGACTAGCCATATTTTGCACCACTGGGCTGCAAGATCCAGTATTTAAATTCCTACGTAGTGCACTATGTAGAGGCTATGCATTACTGCGATTTTATCATAGGGCAGGATATATATGTACACAGAGAGAGAGAGAGAGAGAGAGAGAGAGAGAGAGAGATAGATAGATTGATTTTCAATTTATATTATCCCAATATTTTATCAAGATAAAATAATACAATTTAAAAAATAATAAAAAGTTTTGAATTCAGCTTTATGAAAGATTTCTAGTGTCTAATTGACTCAAACATTTTATTTCGTTGCCACTGAATGTTGAAATTTTAAATTGAAATTTGTGGTTTGGTATAAATTAAGTTAAAAGTCAGATTATTTTTATTTGTTGCTTTATTCTCTGAAGCTGTGGCTTTTTAACATTGTGCCAACCATTCCCGTAATGCATGCCATGTTGAAACTGGTTGATATAACAATATGGTATATGTCAAAACATGATTTGAGTCATGAATGCACTAATTCATGTATAAAGCTAAGCTTTCCTTTGCTGCTAGTTGGGTTATTTTAATGTGTGGTATGCCTGGGATATATGGTAGATATATGAGGTATATAACAGTGAAAACTGTGCCAACCAGTCCCGCTTACCCCTGCTCGTTAGCTACATTAACCTTGTTGCTCAGCTGCAACAATTAAAGAAGAAAACTTTTGGAATAAACAGGGAGATCTGTGTAAAGTAGATTTTTCTCCAAACTATCAAACTATAATTCTGCTCTGTGGTCTTAGTCTTTTCAACCACCCACATCCTCAGCTTTCACCTTCACTCAAAATCTGTCTCATTTCGCAGCTGCTTTCTCTTCACAAAGTCTCGGTCAACGCTCTGGGGGAAGCTGAATTGGTCCCGGCTTGGCTGTGATTTGGTGCAGCACCTCTATTATGCCTGGAGTGGAGGGTCAGGAAGTGGAGAGTGTTTCTAGAGGAGAGAAAACACTGGACTTGGAGTGACTCTCAGCATGAGCTGTGTTCACCTCCGCTCTCACGCATACAAGGGGCCGACACTCTGGCACTGTTAAAGGCTCTTATGGAGAACTTCCAGTGTTTTAAGACAGCTGACCAGGTTGTCCCTGTTATTTACTGTTTCTTTTTTGGGTCCTTTCTTTTTAGAGTGTGTCATACAAGTCTGACTCACAGAAGTGAATCATTGAGTTTAGCAGAGTAAAGTACACTCAGTGGCCACTTTATCAGAAACATCTACCATATAGGTGTACATTGTAGGTGTACAGTTACAGACTGTGCACCATCTGTTGCTGCACAGTTTACGGGTTTCTAAGAAAGTGGCCAGTCAGTGAATGTACAAGGTAGGTGTTTCTAATAAAGTGGCCAGTTAGTGGGCATACAAGGTGGGTGTTTCTAATGAAGTGGTCAGTAAGTAGAAGCACAAGGTAGGTGTGTTTAATAAAGTAGACAGTGGACGTGCAAGGTATGTGTTTCTAATAAAGTGGCCAATTAGTGGGAGGACAAGGTGGGTGTTTCTAATAAAGTAGCCAGTAAGTGGAAACACAAGGTGGGTGTTTCTAATAAAGTAGCCAGTGAGTAGAAGCGCAAAGTAGGTGTGTTTAATAAAGTAGACAGTTAGTGGACATACAAGGCAGGTGTTTCTATTTAAGTGGTTAGTAAATCGCAGCACAAGGTAAGTGTTTCTAATAAAGTGGCCAGTTAGTGGAAGTGTAATATAACAGTAAGTATTAGCCTGTTTCTGAACAGTTTTGCCATTGTTTTCACTCCAGATGCTTGTGATCAGTGGGTGAGTTCATTACTGGGTTGTGCCTCCAGAGTTTTCTGTTTTGTTCTGCAAGCAACTGAGGCCCAGACTCATGCTGCAGTTTGGCCTAATACACCTCCATTATATTTAAGAGCCAAATTACATTTAAATTCCCTCTAGGAATATTTCTTACATTCCCACTGTGCACTCCAGTATAATGTGCTAATTTTTGAAAAATATGGTGAACGCTCTCTTTAATTTCTCCCGAGATTTCACATTTCTTTTCTTCTCTTTTTCACAGAAAGCCATGCTTGTTAACACCTACATTAATGAAGAGTCGATACCAGAAGGCTCTTGAATATTGAATTAAAAGGAAATTAACAGACATATGGATAAACCCTTGCAATAAGATTATCATTCATGACCGTTGTTTAAAGAACTATATTTGAAAAACACACATTAAGGGGTAGATCACAAATGTGCCTGTGGAGGTGGGATATAGTGTTTGATGAGGGTAGAGGAGAAGAAGGAATACTTAGCAATGATTACACAATAGCCCAAAAAAGAGAAACACCTGCTGTTACAGTTGGAGATGTGAATGTTTGTCCTGCTGCCCACTTACTGAGTACTTAATGGAGGAGCAGATACCCTTTATTTCATGAACCAGGTTCCAGATTCTTTCCAGGCCACGGCTCTGAAGAGCTTAGCATTTTCCCTAGTCTAGTGCTCTGAATTCATCTCATGGAGGACTTGTTAATTAGCTGATAAATTGTACACCCTTGCTTTATTGTATTGTGGTTTCATGCTATAGGCTATTGCTACCACTGCAGTCACCATCATACCTATTCTAACACTTCTGCCCCTATGGTGATACAAAACAATAACTGTAAAGCATGTGCTCACCACAGATACAACTTGCCAAACTCAAAAACCTAAACCTAATCATTCAAAGCTAAAGCATACTGCCACAGCCGACATGAAAACTGTTCATGGACCATTTCTGTCTTACCTTCGATGAACCTATACTTTGAAGTAGAAGCTTGTTTTGACATTTTGGCTCAGCTCATTTTAGCTTTTGTAGTGAAAGAGCATTGTAAGTATCAAATTCACAGTTCATGAACGACAGTGAAGTTTTTAACATTAGTTTTTGGCTTTGGAAATGGGTAGAAAATTACATACTCCACTCTATCAGGGATGAGATCTTAGCATTACAGATCCCCAGGTATATCTTTTTGACCACCTACCTATAGATACACACCTGCAATAAAGTCTCAGACTTCTTTTTGTTAGGCTCAAGCAAACATTTGACCAGCAAAAGAGCCATTTTTATGGTTATTGATTGAGAAATCAGTTGTATTAACCTCGTAAATGTCTAGGAGCCACCAGGAGGACCAGACTTCCATTCTTCCCTCCTATGACTTAAGAATAGCTCTGCTCGGTGTGTCCATATAGCTACTGAATAACAATCCTTAAGATAAAGAATGTTTGTCATTATAAGGGGTTAACAAAATATGCCAGTAAGCATATCTTCATAGGAGGGGGAAGAACATTCTTAACCAGTAATGTAAGTTAATGTATGTTGTTCCAAGTAATTTTGCTGCGTTTCCTTTAAGAGCTTGAAATGTTTGTCTGAACCCAACGTTGGGTCCTGTGAGGTGCAGTCGGGTTTGAACATCATTTCTCAAATATGCATCAAACTTGAGTTTACCCTGCGTCCCCCGAGCTTTAGTTTTCTCCTTCCTTTATTCTACCTCCCTACTTTTTATTACCTTAAAACGTATTTTAATCTGGCATGCTGGAATCACCCACTCATGTTGTTGAGATCCACAAAGCCCACGCTTCTGAGAAAACTGATATAAGGGTAATAAAACAGCTGACCGGTTCAGGAAAGGACAAATGGAGGGCAGTACATTTTTTTTTGTTTGTTTTAATTTATCTAGGATCTTATGATTGCTATTGTTGTAACTATGTGATAATTTAACGGCACTGTTATTAGAAATATCAATTTTTTTTTTGATTGATCACAGGCTGGTTTGAGTCAGCTTCAGTCAAAATTTTATTGACTTTTTGGTCAGGCTCAGACTGAAAATTTAATGACAACATTTATCATAAAATTTTGACATTAAATGTTCACACAATATAAAGTGTAGCTGGAGTTTACAAATGGTGTAAAATATATATACAGTACAAAGTACAAAGTCCTGATATATATATTATATATTATATATATAATATATATATATATATATATATATATATAAGGACTTGGCTATACCTGAGGTATAGTGTGTTGATTGCCACATTAATCTGAAAAGTTAACTGAGATTTGATTTTGTGTATTTTTGCAGGTAGTTACTGGAATGCTGCTTCCTTCAACACACCTTCATCCTACCTGCACTTCTCCACTTTCCAAGGAGAAACCAGTGCAGATATCTCCTTCTACTTCAAAACCTCCGCTCCCTACGGCGTCTTTCTGGAGAACCTGGGCAACACTGACTTCATCCGCCTGGAGCTGAAATGTGAGTATCTCTCGCTTCTCCATCTCTGTCTCGATTGATCTCACTCTTTCTCTCTCTGTTTAGCTCTCACTCTCGCCCCCCACCTCCTCTGTTTTTCTTGCTTCCTCCCCTCTATCTCTCTCTCTCTCTTTTCTGTTTCTCTTCCTTTCCGGCTTCTCTTTCTCTGTCTCTGTTTAGTTTCTTCTCATTCTCTCTGTCTTCTCAATCTCTCTTTTCTCCTCTCCCTTCTTCACCCTTCTCCCTCTCTCTCTCTCTCCTCTTTTTTTCTGTCTCTCTCACTCTTCCCTCTCTTACTCTTCTCCCTCTTTCTCTCTCACTCTCTTTTCTCCTCTTTCCTCTGTCTCTCACTCATCCTGTCTCTCTCTCTCTCTCTGTCTCTCTCTCTCTCTCTCACTCCTTCTGTCTCTCTCGCTCTCTCTTTACTCCCTCTGTCTCTCTCGCTCTCTCTTTACTCCCTCTCTCTCTCTCTCTCTCTCTCTCTCTCCCCTCTCTCCTGTGGTCCCTCTGCATTATTGCACTCTAATGAGAGTCAGTATCTAAATCAGTGTGACTGTATTGTTGAGTAATTGGGAATTTGCTTTGGTAAATATGACTTTGAATATTGCTTTTGTCATCTAATATCTGAGAACATGTGAGAATGTACATGTAAGACATACATTCATTCAGACATATTCATTCATTTGCCGGGTGGGGACTCCAGATTTCCAGTAGAGAAATTCAGCCTGTGAAAGACTGTGTGGATGTGAAGTGGACAGATTTGCAACTGCAGTTACAGTAAATGAGTGACTTTTCTACAGAGGAGCTGCTGTGCAGTGACGTTAGTAACAGTAACTGGCACATAAAAGAGCACAAGGGTGGTGAATAAATATAGAATAATGCTAGGAGCAGCATGTAATTGAACCTTCAGACCAAAAGTGGTGCAATTTTTCAAGTTACAGTGCTGTTGTTGAACACTGGACAGTGGCGATGAACAAAAACTGACAAAATGTGAGAACTGGCACAAGAAAGCCAAGAATGATGACTAATAACATTGTAGTCAGATGATAGATTAGTATAAGAAGCAGTGTATTAAATAAACAGTTGTGTTAGTGAGATACAGCATATTAGAGGGAAAGTTGTCAGAGTGACTGTTCACTTCTGTACAGCCTTAAAAACATACATGTCAGAAAGGGTTCTTTGTGACAGAACACGTCACCATTACTGTTAATTGAGCCCTTGCAGCAAAAAACACTGTATGTGACTTTTGTAAAAATCATAAGCAGGAGATGGCATTGTTTGATGCCCTGTATTTAAAATAAATGAGTCAGGAGAGGTGTGGACTCGAGTCATATCACTTGGACTCCAGTCCAACTCGAGTCACAAATTTAATTACTTGAGACTCGACTCAAGAAAATCGAGAAAGACGTGCTACTTGACTCTTCTATATAGACTCCAAAACGGTTCTCCTATTATTAGAAGCTTGACCCTGTAAAAATAGAAGAATGCTTTCAGGTGCTCTATAGAACCTGTTTCAAAAAGGTTCTATATAGAACCATCTACAGCACATTTTAAGAACCTTTTCATGATGAAAAGAACACTTTAATCATGCAAAGGGTTTTTGAGTGTTCATGGTTCTTTTTAGAAACAATTTCTTTACTAAAGAACCTTTGTAGAGCTATCCTTTTTGTGGTTATCTGAGTACCATGGATTTTGTACTTTAGTTGGAAAGGTAAAAAAAAAAAAAGAAAAATGAATATACAGCCATACACTAGTAACATGCTGTCGTTAAAAGGCTATAGTACTGTTACCCTTATTCAGTGTTAGGCCTTAAATTAGCTGAAGAATGCAGACTAACTTGTTTAGGACTTGAAGATTAGGACTATTGGCTTGGCACTCGAGACTCACCTGTACTGACTCGAGACTTGAATAAAGACTTGACCTGGGACTTAACTTGGGACTTCTGTCAAGACTTGAGACTTACTTGTTACTTGCAACTTAGTGACTTGTTTCCACCCCTGTGAGTCAGTAAAATGTAAATAAAGCATAGATTTTTTTTTTTGCCTTTGATGTCATGCCAGCTTGTGTCACATACTAATTGTTGCTATGCACTCTAGTTAGCCATCATGACATGAAACATATAAATAGAATAACATCAAGACAATCCACATAAATCTAATAGTTAACACACTTTAGAATGAGATTTAATCTGAGTGTTCACAAAAAAAAGTCTCTGCTGGATCAGTTATGGCTTTTAATAGATAGAAATATGTACTAGTTAATGTACAACAAATATGGACCATTCTACCGAATTAGTTCAAACTGTGGTCCCACAGTAAAAAAATAAATAAATATTCAGATCTTACATACAAGGAATATCTTCTGATCTATTTAAACCTGAAGGATCAATTGAGATAGCAGTAAGCTAAATATATATCATCATAAAAATCATCATTTATAGGGTACTTTCTATTGGGAGGTGTCTGTCCCAAACCCTAACCCCTAAATTTCAACTTGTCAAAATAATTTCACCATTTTTTATGATCTTTTTGATTTCTTTTTAAGTGAAGTTAAATAGTTTAGATTTATTAAAGTTTTAAACCAGAAAATTTATTCAAAAAATGCTGTCCCGCGTTTTCGTGTCTCTACCAAAACATACAGAGTTTTGGTCTGCGGAGCCTTATTTTAGCCACACCCCCGCATTTTAGAGCAGGAAGTGAGACCACATCCCTATCCCTCATGGCCACATGGTGAGCAGTTAGATCCAGAGTAAATGTGTTCTAAAGTCTGAAAATCAGTGTGTAACAGTAAGAACTGTCACTACTGAAACACATTTCTGTAAATTGTAATACGTATATGTGATTGAGTTTTTGAGTTATGCTTCAAATTCAGCTGGAACAGTCTCTACTGAAATATTTGGTAATGTTTGGATAGTGTTTGTATTGTTAGTGGCAAAATGAAGTGTTCAATAATTTAGTTTAATAAAGTAAACATTTTAAGGTTATAGATTCGCTCAAAGCAAAACTATTTTACTCTAAAATCTTAGTCAGTTAAAAATCTGAAATGCGTTTGTAATCTGACTTTAAACCAATTTGGTAGAATGATCCTTATCAGTTTATATATAGTATCTTGTATATCAGTGTATAAGCAGGATATGTGGAAGTATGGCAATATCCTAAGTCTACAGTAGTGATGCACCAAAATTAAACCAAAACCAAAATTCATGACAAACTGGACCAAAAATAAAACACAAAAACCAAGAAAAGCTGACAAAAAATCCACAACTCCACAACTGAGAGTGTTTGTCATTCAAAGAAATTTCATAACTGTTTTAGTTATTCTTTGCACTTCGGCTGTCATTTAGGATTTTTTTCATCATTTGATAAACTGAGCATATAGATGACGTTGGCATACTTGCAGGAACTTTCTACACTGCTTCTGTTGCTTTGCTGTATTCTGCATATTGAGCGGGATGTCATGTTTTGAAGTGGTATCAAACTTGTAGTGGAGAACTTGTATTACCTCTTAATACTCATCATGAACGTGAGACCATAACTTGCCTGTCTGATGTTCTTTATAGGAACTGTGAAATAGTTACATGTGGCCAATATTTTCACTGTTGAAAAGTCTGAATGTGTTGTATGCTTCTGCACTGACCACGACAGGAAACAATTTGTACTACCATTAAAATTAGTTGTAAAGTCTTAGAGATTAACACTTTCCTGTAGGCCTGCTTAATCATTTTTGGTCAAAATGTTTGGCCATTTTTGGCCAAAAATGTTCAGTGGCTGATATTTTGGTGCATCCCTCGTCTACAGTTTTAGAAACTTCCTCCCTCGAGTCAAATCGAGGGTTCGAGGGTTCAAGTTGGAATGCCCTTCAAAATAGTGACAGGGGTTTCCCTGAGGCTAAGCACGGATGGGAATTCTAGGAACACTTTTCTTTTGCACATCACAAGCCATAGATGCACTCTGTTTCCTCACCATTATTTCTGTCTCTGTGCGGTTGGTGGGCCTCGGGCCTCCAGGCCGGACTGTTGTAGCCGCTGCTCTATTTGTGTGGATACAATTTGCTCTCATTGTCTGTTGTTCTTGCTCAAACATGAATGCGGCCTCTCAAGGAGAGCCGACAACGGACTTTAAACAGACTCTGTAATTGCTTATAAATGTCTATTTACTGAAAGCGGCCTTTCTAGCCGCATACGGTGGGATTACAGATGAGAAGGCATAATTGAGCGTTCGAAACGTCGGATGATTTACTCTCAGCTGTCCCGAATCGACGGAGAATTAAAGGGAGAAAAGGAGGGAGATTGAGAAATCTCTCTCACGCACATTTCCTCGTTCAACCCCGAGAGCCGCGGACGCTTTTCTCTCTTCCACACTGTTTACTGTACAAAAGATAATCCAAATCCGAAAGGCCAAAAAAACCACAGTCTCTGGGAAATCCTGTGTTGCGCACAACGACGGCTTATTTTCTAAAGTGCTTCATTGTCATTGTGCTACAGTGTTCTTTATTTTATTCTTTTGACTATGTCAAATGCAAATGTCTGCGGATGTTTGCGGGCGTGTGCTATTCATCTTTGTTCCCTCATTTCAATCTATTCATACACCCTTAACGTGCATAGAGGACAAAGAGTGGGTCCACAGCAAAGTACAAGCAAACGGAACGGTCCAGCACTAGACGTGGTATTCAAACACAGTGTTTATATAAACCATTCAGTCTCCTGAATAGATACCATTGGGAACATACTATTGATGAGAAGCCTCTACATCCTACTTTCTACTCCTTTACACAACACAGGCACGTTTTTTTTATGCCTTGTGAGAACATGAGGTCATAGATACACTTGCAAGTTGCTTTTTTTATTTTTATTTATTTTTTTTAGGTATACCTACCCTGTAGCTACGCTCAGTGGTGGGAATGGGCTGGAACGCCCCCATTTCGGGAGTAAAAGTCGAGAAGGATTAGTATTAGATCCGGCTTAGATCATTTATTTTTATATGGAACCCATTTATAGATGTTTT